CGCCCGGCTTTTATGTGCCTTCTAATTGGGCCGCCTCGGCTCTTGGGAAAGATCGACCGATCGCACGATCGGCCCTCGTTAACCCCTAACGCTCTCCGCGTGCACGCCAGGGATCCATATAAGCCGGTATACTTCACGGCGAGGTTTATCGGTACCGACGATAGCCTCTCGCGTCGCACTGAACAACGCGATTTCTCTCTCTTTCTCTCTCTTCCCGATTTGTCTACGACTGAATCACCGTGAATTTAATCGCGCCAGCAATTCACGCTGCTAAACCAATAATTATATTTTTCTCACTTATTAATACATTTCGGTTTAATACGGTTTGATTACTATATATTTAGATATTACTGTCTAATAATGAAGATAGAAATATGAAACATGAAGAAAGAGGATAGCTCGAGAATTTAATTTATTTAATTTAAAAAAAAATTCTTTCCAGATTTATCAGAAAATGCTGGAAAATAATTTAATTCGAAGATTTATGAAACATTGCATAACTTTATTATATTTATTTATATGACATATGCTTCCGCGTTGTTTTTAATGTAATCGAGCACGTGTATTATATAGTTACGAGTAGTTTATTTCTTGTTTTTTTATTCTATGCATTTACTCGAATAATACATATGTTATACGCACGCGTAAAATAGCAGCAACGATCTCATCTGTCGATAGTTTGCATAATGAATTTAAGTCGAACGTACAAAATATATGTTTTTACCAAGCGTATGATGCAAAATAAAAATATTGCGAAAGACTGATTCGTCATCGAAATGCGTTGACATTTACTGCGGAATTACGAATTTTACACAGGATATATTTTTTACCGCGTGCACGATCGACCTGTTCGTCGATTGTAACACGATTTTTGCAAACAAAATGAATAGTTCTACTTTGTAAAACCGTCATCGGCTCTAGGAATTAATAATTATACGCGGATACACGGCTCATTACTCACGGTTGCGCGGCCAGAAATGGTTTTACGCGAACACTGCACATTTCACGTAATCAATTAGGCGTCATTACAGTTGGTTCTCTGTGTTATCAATTTGCTTGATCAGAAGGGAAATAAACAAGCGAAGAAAGAATGAGAAAATGAACAACGCTGCTAAATCCGAATCTCTCTCGATAGTTTTTTTCTATACCCGTACAGCTTGAAAGAATAACCGGCACTCGAGTCGATTCTCGTCATTCATTACCGATAACTTGTTTATCGTGTCCCAAGAGAACCATTGACATTCTGTGTATTATGCTCGTGCGGTCTGCACATTGTACGTTCCTCTCTTGTTGTCGCTCTGACTGAACGTATCTTCTGCGAGTAGCTTCGAAGAGAAAGCGACTAGCGTTTCTTCTAAAGTCCAAACAAATCTCTTCGGACCGTTTCCAATTCCGATATAAATCTCCTTATTGATAGCTGTATGATTTGTTTATTCATGAGAATAATTTATTCTATGAAGATTCTATAAATTATTTATGTAGTATATATATTATATTTAAAAAAATAATCGGCACACATTGTATGATCATCACACTGTTACATGATTGATTATAATGCAATTAATAACAATTAGATGCACGGCTGTTGAAATCAGATTTTTGTAAAATTAAGAAAGAATCTCGATAAATACAAGTAGTTTTACAGACATTTTGTACATTTATTACAATATAAATTTGATGACAGAGAAATTCTTAGTGAGAAATTGCTTATTTATTGATATAAAAAAAATACTATTAAAAAATGCGATAAAATCCAATTTCTAAAATTTTAAATTGATTTTTACACAATTTTCTTTTCGAGTAATAATTTTTTTCAATAACATCTTAATCCATACTTTAAAGGGAAGATAAAAGGATTAAATTAAAGAGCTAATTTTTATAAATTGAATCGAATTCTATATAATTATAATATCACATTCTTGCAAAATAATTAAATATAATCAATTATATTTAAATGACTTTTAAATATGATGAATATTTTCTGTCATTATGTTGTACAAATAACAATAATAACGTTGGACGAATTTCCGTAACGCAAATGGCTCAAGCAGCGGCATCTTTCAATCATTTCTTAACGTTTATGTATTCCATTTCTGGAAATTTACGCTTGTGTGTTAAGTCTCTCCGGGGCCGGTCACCGCCGGCCGTTTCTCGTGGAAATTCGCTTTTGTGCGTTGCAACGCGAGACGAGCGATCGTGTCGCAGACTCGTAAACCGGCTCGTCTATCGATATTTCACTCGTGCCGAACGGGAGTCGCGCTCACGGTTAAAATCGTCCTGTTGCCGCGGCAGTGTTGCCCAACTCTCATGCATAGAGTCATGACGGGTTTAAGCGATTGCTTATTGCTTGACTGGTATAACCAGTCGCTGTGGACTGACGCACTGCCTCAAGTCTCGCTCGTTTGTTATCCGCATTAGTACGTGCGTGCATACACACGCGCAGCCGTACATATGTATATACACGCTGGGAACCGTGCGCCTTGATTCGTGTACTTGAGTATCGCGGACTCTGATACCGTGGTACACATCGGTCTCGAATCATCGGTATCGAATCAACTATCTGTCCCATATGATATGTCAAACTCGGCTCGGTTGACTTTTTTTTCGAGCTACCTGACATATCATTTGGGATTTTTACTGTCATTTGTTTAAGATTGATCGTTTATGCCTCTTCGAGATTTTTCTAAAAAAAAATCAAGCGTTTTATGAGTGAATCAGGATCGTACGTCTTTTTCCGAATTATTACATTAGAGAAGGCTAATATGATAATTAAGAGAACGTGATCAATCAATGTCTTATTTATATCATTTATGAAATGATCAAAAACATTCTGAGAGTCGTACATTCGATGCAATTTTTTTCAGATATCTGCCATAAACATTAGCCTATATATTACGACTTTTATGATGTAACATTAAAAAATCTATTATAACGTAATTAAAAAAATTATTAATATGATTAAAATCTGCATTAATGTATAATTCTATAAATTTTTGAATAGCAAGCGTGATATCAAAGGAAACGATTGAGTATCGTTCAATTTGGTTATAAAAAGAATGACTGATCTATCAAGGTTAGTCGCGTGAGCTGGTATTCGTAACTCGATGATTTTGCAACGCTCGTATTTCATTCTGCAGTTGATTAATGTAGATTGAATAATGTGATGCACCTGTAGAGTCGGCACGTTGCAATTGTATATGCTCAAAATAAAAAAAAAAAATACAAATATCACATCCGGCTCGTGCGTAGTTTTACGCAAAAAAGACTTCTATAATGATCAGGTTATTGCCGGAGATTGTTTATAATTACAAATCGTTCGACTGTCGGTTTATTTAAGATCACACATCCCTAACATCGAAAGTATTCGCGGTTCGTGACACGGGCATTCAGGCTGGCGGAATGGGCCTGACCTGAGGCACACAAATTTAAAGAGTACCGCTTTCGAAGTGAATGTTCGCCGATACGCTCGCTTCCGCATTAAGAGAAATGAGATTGATCCATTATGCTATTAAACATCACTTAAATTTCTCCTGTCGTAATCCCTTCTGGTTAACAAAACATTTGGTTTATTGTAATAAAAAGTCCATACTGATTTTTTCTTAATGGTGTTTTTTTTTAAATAAAGATTTATTTACAACTTTTTTTTTTTTGAATTTAGATACAAATTTACATATTTGGAATGTCTTCAACAAGGAATTATAAAACTAGTGTACTATCATCATCGTGCTAATTAATGTCGTAGACATTAAGAATGATAAATAGCAATCACAAAATCGAAATATTCCAGACTAGTAAAAAAAAAAAAGGAATTAAGTATAGTGAGAATTGAAAAGACTGAATCGGCCTTTACGTATCTATATGATTTTACAAGCACGTCTAGAAAAATATTTTTATACCATTTCTCTTCCGTTTTAACATGTAAATTCTTAAAGATTTTTAAAAATATATGTTAAAAAGATGAGAAAAGATTCAAAAGATTCAGAAAAGGTTCAATTTTGTAATATCTATAAATCATGTGACGTTTATTTTATATAATATTAATCAGCCTTGATATTTATCTTTTCGTTAAGGTCGATTCATATTACGAAATGTCACCACCACGTAGCATCGTATTATTGTATGGGTTTCGAATAGAGAAATTTACATTATTTATAATAATAAATTCCGGACAAAAACGTTAAGCAGAGACACAATTGCTACAGGAGATTTACTTATCATACCGGAATATGAAACAGAATTATTATACAAACGTTCCTTCAGATATAATCCTAGGTATGAAACTTTAGACACATTGTTACATACAATTTATGAATAAATTTTGTGCTCAAAATACTTTTTTTTACGTTTATTTATAGTGCAACGTATATATATTATCCACGTTATGTATATATTTATTTTTGTATGCATTTATGCTATTGTGCTTTTTAGACGATTTTTTCCGGAATGCTTGATAAATAATACTTAATAATAATGACGATAATAATCGAATCTAATAACAATAATAATACTAATGGTAATAATAGTAATAATAATATTTTTTTACCATCTTGCCGTACCATCAATAAGTGAATATTAGATGAAACATATCTCGTGAGTATGAGATATACCTCGATGTATGTATATGTATGTGTAGATGTGACTATGATATATATTGATAAATATACTAAAGCTTTTAGTTACTGGCCAATATACCTCACTCTGACTCACTACATATAAAATATAATCTTTACTTTTACCTTGTCAACAAAAATGTAGCGTATTCCTTACAGCCGATTTCTCTCTAATAATGAAACTGATTCTATGTAGTTGTTCATTTGTTTGAAACGATATTGATTACAAATGACTAAACGAATTTGCCTAAAATTTCTGAAAATTTTTGAATAGATATATTGAATAGATTTTTGTGTAGCTATACCAGTAATAATATTTTTGAAATATTAACGAATTATAAATTATTAATTTAGTTTCTTGATGATTTTTGAAAAAAAAAACGATATCAATTGAAAACGGCTGCACCAGTTATATATATATATATATATATATTGGATAGTCTGAAATAAATTAAATCAATATAAATCGCGTCGATTTAATCGTTTCAAGTACTATGTTATATGTATATATGTACACAAAATGAACACATTTTCATGATGGTACTACCTATGAACGGTCGTCAAACTGACCAGCATCTCCCCGTTCCTTCTCAACATCATTGTTGTTTTTCCATCGCGAAAATAATTCTAAATATATACACCGCGATTTTCGCTATACGTTATTCGTTTCTATTCACTTTATCAGTGGAATTGTAACTATTATAAACATTGTCCATCGTTTCTCTCGAACTTCTTTCGAGCTCGCTCCTCTAGAAACCGCGCGAATCTTTCGACGTGTTTCTTCAGATGAAGACGAATCGAAATTCCGAGAATCGAAATCGATTCAAGCGGCTCATGAGCCTACAAAACAATTCGCCGTCAAGGACGTACCAGCGGAAAGCGTCAGATCGAGCGGATACGCCGCGGTCTCTTCCTTGGGCGACCTGCCGCCATTCTTCTCGTCCTGTTCTTCCTCTTTCTCTTCTTTTACTGGCGACTCTCTGGATCGCGGCAGAGTGCCACTCGCCCGCATGCTTAGATCGATCGGTTCGTCGCCGGCGGAATTATTATGATTAGAGTTAACCAGAAGTAGATTGTGATACCTCCACGGAGGTGGCAACGAGTGTGACCCCGATGCGAACATCCCTCCTGGGAGTAATAGGGAATGTTGACCCGTGAGCATGAGCATGCCGTTGATCGAGACTCTGGGTTTGGACTCTTGCTCGTTTGCTCTCGTGGGTGTGAACGGCGACCGGCTCGAACTGCTCCTGGACTGTACATCGCGAGGATGGTCGTCATCGATGGACTCGCTCTCGGATTCGCCATCGGCGTTTCTAATGTTATTCCTCGACGTTGACTCCGTCGGCACAGGCGATCGGTAAGAATCCGACGAGTAAAACGACGTTCCCTGAGTGAATGTCGCGGAAGTTTCCGCGGACGGACTCCGTTGCCGTGGCGAGTGATTGTCGTGCGGCGATGACGAGACTTCCCTCGACGTGGGCGGCGGTGTTGTGAGGGACGGTAGCTGCGGCTGATGTTCCCCCAAATACCAGTTGCGCAGATAGAGTTGATGGTATAAAGCCACGTCGTCGGGATGGGGCGATCCGTCCGGTCGCTGCAGCATCGCCGGTGACATGTGGTACGGATACTGCACCGCCGGGTTTTCGTGACTGGTCGACGGGCCGTTGTCTATTTCGTTGCTGCCGTCAGCAACATTTTGCGGGGGATAACTTAAACGGAAGGACGGAACGATACCGGAAGGACGGAGCGCTGCCATCTCGTTCGCGTTTTGATCGCGTCTCAGCTGCTCCGAGAAATAAGTGATCTTGAACCAATTCGAGCGCCGCCCGTAGCGCGAGCTCGACTTGGACATGCCGACGTCTAGGCATTTCTTTAATCGACACGCTTTGCAAGCCGTCCGGTTCCTCTTGTTGATTATGCAGTTGCCGCCGTTCTTGCATGCTGTCACGTTAGTGGGGTTGTTATACGTGCGACCGAAGAATGACTGTAACAGAAGATTATAGTAATCCGATTAATTGTTCATATTGTAACATCCGGATAACATCAGAGTTGCGTTTCTATTTTGAAAACTCGAAAGTGATATCCCGAGAAATTTCGCGCAAGAAGAAATTATAAATTTAGTGCTGCATATAACGGCGTTATTATATTCAACTTCGCAGCCATTCGAAGGCGCCTTGGCACTTGATACTTCCAGATATATGCCACTTAAAATCACATGGCGAGATTAAGGAACGGAATATTTCGCTGACGCATTCGTGGAAATTAATGCTGTGTCGCTCGTTAAATTGATCTACAAATGTACTTATCGTCGCACCGGATACCTAACCAGCTTCGCGGTTACGGTCGTCGGACGATCATGAGTTTTCGCGCGTTGGGTCTCCCGATCCAACCTTCGACCCCCGACACTCATCCGGAGAATCGCGGAGAGCCGCGGTGCTGCGGCGCGCGGCTCATCCATATAAATTAATCGGATTATCGAGACAAACGAAGCATTATCGCGATAGAGGCCCGCGCGCCGTACTTTCGCGCCGGATATTACCAGATACGTCCGCGGGAGAGAAACCTCCATACGACCGAACCATATAAAGGGTCGACGGTCGGTGCCCGTGTGTAAGCCACGCGCATTTCTACCGGATTAAACGTCAGGGTTTAATGTTACGCGCGTCACGTGAATTAGCATGCCTGTGCCTAGAAGAGAGGCGCGCACGCGAGAAAGAAGGAGAAGGGCAGAGGAGACGAAGAGCACGGCGAAGGGAGCGAGCAAAAGGGTGAAGGGAGAGCGGAAGGAGATGGGGAAAGAAAGCGAGAAGACGAGGTGGAGGAGGAGGAGGAGGAGATAGAGTATATACGTGGCGTGGCCGCTCGTAAAGTTAAACGCCTGTCGGCCGACGATAAAACTGCCTCGAGAAGACCCGTTGCTTCGAAAGGTGCGCGCGGTCTCGCTCGCACGGTCATCGAGTACTAATTTACGACGCAGCTTTGCAGTCTTTCGCCGCTCGCACCCTCCGGAAATTTCGAGAGATTCGCCACAACGCGAGCGCGCAACGCCCGCGGTCGATTGGTCGGCTACATATCATCCGATTAAGCTTCCGTATTCAGGGGAAATTTTTGATTGATCTGAGATTGCAGCTCGTGCGCCGAGATATACTTTATCTCCAGCAAATGTAAAAATAAAAAAGCGGCATTAGTATTTAGTAGATTCGCGTCTACAAAAGTAGATCGTAATCTAAACCAATATCAATATTAAATCCCAGAAAAATATATTTACCTTTCCAAGTAACTTGATCTTAATAATTATATATCTTTATATTTTATCAATAATAATCATTATCTCGTCTCAGCATATACAGATTTCGCTTTCAGCAATACCAAACTGATTCTTCTTTAAAATTGAGAGCGATCGTGCCTTGTTAAAGTGTATATAGTTATCGCGTATGTTACGAGATCACGAGAGGCAATCTCGCGTATCCATGCAACGTATCCGCGTTCCCACGCTTCTCCCGTTATTACGACATTGCGTCACGATCGATCTAGCGCATAACGCACGCGTGTTACGGAAACAAGATGCGGAAGGTGAAATTTCGTGTCGCGTCGTCGCGGAGGCTGCCGAAGGACACGAATTCTGGACGCCACCTGACCGAAGAGCCACGTGGGCGGGCCGGTAACGGGTCGAAATCCCGAAAGTTCGCGGTATAGCGGTACACGTCTCCCGATCGGGAGTAACGAAATCGTTCGATGAAGTGTCCACAGTGGCCAAATTCACGGCCCACGGCGCGATCCGGTTCGGTAGTGCTCATTGGATTCGCTTGTACTTCCAGATGATCATCGCATCGATGTCATCGCTGTGTGAGTCATCCAGAGTAACATGACTCGGTTGCCCGAGTGCAGAAACTTGTACAGAAACTTGTTCGTGCGAAGTATCGATAATCTCAAGGATTAATGGATCACACGTTTGCGCTCGGGAATCATCATGTAAACGTTATAATTATCGGTACACGTAAATCAAATGAGTCCGAGTCGGCGCGATTGCGATCACTTTTTCAGGAAGTCGCTGCACATATTAATTTCGAATTTATAATTACAAATTACGTATATCGCTTTCCGGATTGATTGTAATAGGTTATGTAATTAAATCCATATTCTATGCCGCGTTAGGTAGAGATCGTGACTCGAAAGTGTAGCTCGTGGTCGACAAGCGACAGGTGACGGTCTCGTAATTCCCGCGAAACGCGCGCGTACCGTCCGAAATGCGCGTCGAACGAGACGTTAAACGACAGTGCAATCTTCCACCGGGCAATCTCGAATCGCGACGATTCGAATGTGTTGGAAATAGCTCTCCTCGTATACCAGACGATCTTTAGTCGTCGCCACGACTGCGTGAAGGAGATTATGATGCCATTCTGCGCTTAGGAATCTAAGCGTGTATATATGTACGCCGCATCGGTATACCGACGCGACGCCAAATGGCGTTTCCGTTTCCCAGACGATTTATCGGGCCGTATAGGAACGTACTCTTCGAATTATATTTGGTTCCTTCCGGTCGTTTCACAATTGGAATCGTGCAATATGTCGAGCGCAAATTCGGGCAATCTAAAAATAGATTAACTTTCGGCGTTTATTTTTTTCATTTATGATGAAGTTATAATACTATAATGAGCAAAATATATTATTCTCATTTAACATTGTTCGCAATAACTTATAATATTGTCGCATTCACGTCTGAATAGATTTCATAATTGTGTAATTCCAAAGTATGATTCTTCGAAAAAGTTCACGATCGATCGGACAGAGTGAAATCGCGCGCGGGATACGTGTACGTTTCGCGGCGTGACGGTATTAGGGAGTTCGATGCGATTTACGTATCGATTTATATACGTGTATCACGGACATTGCGTGCTCGATCGAATCGCTCAAAGTCGTCCACGCGGGGTAATTGATCCGGTGTCGCGCTTCTGCCATATTGGGTCTCGGGACTGGGAAAAGTGGCGACGTTCTTAAAGCGCCGCGGATGACTGTCTTTCGCGGATAGCGATTGCGTCGCCAGGTCCTGGTCCGGCCGGTCGTCGTGTGTTCACTCGGTCAGCTGCGACTACGGATTATAGTCGGACAGTCCTCGATCAAGGGGGACAACGGGATTCGCGGGATTGCGTAACGCCGTGCATGCGTGCGCGTGTTCAAACTCGGTTTTTCAAGTTTTTGCAGTTCTTCGGTCCGGTCATTGGACGTGCACGCGTACGAGTCCGACACCAGGAACAGAGCGGGCCGCGATGAGCCGCAATACGACGGCAATAGCAGCAGCAGCAGTAGCAGCAGTAACAACAACAACGGCGAAACAACCAGTTCTCGTGCGCGTGGAGAATGCACAGCGGTTGAAACACGCGCCATTTACGGGCGCGTGCGACAAATCCGTCGAGAGAAGCTGAGATTATCTCAAATCAGCCGGTATGTCCGGAATCCTGGACCGATTTGTAACGCCGTAAAGCGACGCGGAGAAATCAGAATCGTCCGTGATCGTGAAAAGAAATGTAAAACGGCTTATAGAAAGTGAACGCATCTTCGAATCCAAATCGACCCCATCGATATTTTAATAGTAAATTTATATTCGTATAAGTAGTCGTTCATATGCAAATGTGTAATAAACGATACCAAAAATTACACATTGTAATAAATATTAGAAATGATAAAAAGCAATCTAACGATGGGTACAATGGAGAGAATTGAAATGCCTAAAGCAGGGGAGCAGAAATTTTCTGTTTTCTCGGCAGTGATAAAACTGTCATCGATATGACATTCGATCAGAGAGCGGCGAGACGTTAATTTTTTCTCAAGGGAGAAACGCGATAGTTTCTCGCGCGTGAGGAGAATCGATTGGAAACCTCGCATTTTTTTTTATTGCCAAATGGGAAACACGAATGGCCCGAATCGGCACGATTTGAACGGATCGACGAATTCCAAAGATTCGATTTCTCATAAGATCGGCAAAAAGTCGATTTTACGGGCCTTTATCGCGATTCTGTCGTTCCGACGATTCCGCGAAGGACTTACGTGCGCGTTTAGCGCAATCATTATTCGCACGACATCGTGGATTTCTTCGCGACGAAGCTAAGTGAGACGACAAATATAATTTTCGCTTCAACAACTCGACGCGTCGTAGATCGATATACATTGCAGCATTGTCGCAATTGACAACGAGGAAGGATCCGCTGGAAGCTGCAATAATTTTCATCGTATTATTCGCGGCCTACTAAAAAATGCATTTGTTATGTTAAGGATGTCTTATTGTTAGCTTCATCTGCTTTATTTTTACGTTGGGATATACTCGTAGATACACATATAGGTAATTCGATTGTGAACAGGATTACTAATTTCGATTTTAGCGTATATTGTATTATCTCATCATTATAGTCCCGCAAAAGCAAAGGAGTATCGTTGGTTTTATGACTTTACGAATGTAAAGATTTTGCATTGTTGAAGTTTCATATTTTCGTTCTATACATAAGAAATGTAGAGCATCCGTATTCCATTAATATCGCTTACGTCAACATTCGTCAAGATATTTCTCTGATAAATATCGTTAGATTAAGAATTTTACGACTTCAGTATAATACTTGAGCAATTTCAATTTTATGGCAACTTGATAAAATATGTATTTGATAATCTTGTGTATTTATAAAATATGTATTTGTTTCTCTTCATATCGCAAAGTATCGCTAAACATTTAGTCCCACGCTATGCTACGCGAAAACGTAACGTGACGCCAAATGCGGCAATAGTCACGCTATTTCCTAAAGGGACGATTATTTCCCTCGTGAACGTGAACGACCTGCGGGGAAAAAGACGAAAATTACTTTTGTAGGAAGAAATGAAGGCTTATGGTATTACCGGATTTCTCGTAAACGTTTTACGAGAAAGTCCGCGTGGCACATATCGCACAGGTTTCGGCGTGCAGCATCCGTCGTGCACGAATCTGAGGTCACGACACGA